AACCTACGTAAATACTCTAAAATTATCACACCATTGACCTACTAGAAAAATTGTCAATTAAAAGGAAATAGTGTTGAATAAAAAAAAGACCGAGTTACTATACAATTTAGAAAGATAAGTACATACTCAACATAATTGACATGTGACAATAACAATAATCACCCATCTATTACGTCAGCCGTTGAGCTTGCGTTGATATTATTTTATGTATGGTGGGCAATGGCTGGCTGGGAACATACCGTGTGACATCTATGTTGGTGTTATGAACACTGAAATTATCCCCAGCTGCCGAAGAACCACATACTGTGTCTCAAAATTACTATCATAATAATAACATATTCACTGTAAATTGGACGAAAGAAACTGTTGCGTTGAAAACGAGATCTGTCGGCCTAAATATGATTTCATTGGGATTTAATACAGGTTATATAGGTTACTGTATATAGATATTCAGATAGTACATGTTACCTATCATATCTTTAATAACCTTGTTAAATGTTAATATTTTACTAAAGTAGAATTGATAGGCACGGAAGAACATAATGTACAATAGTGTATGGGACATTTTTTAGATTGGATTATTATTTCAAGTTCACATTAGGTCTGGCTACATTATTTGTTTAATTTTTTAACTAATGATTTAACAACATTACCCATGATGAAACAATCGTTTATTGTTGTTGTGGTCTTGAAACGAGAGAGAAAATAGACCTATATATAACAATTAAATTGTTTCTTTTTTCTTTTTTTTTTTGTATTTGGTCTGTCGACCTAAAGTGAAAGTTATCCCTCTTAATATATGATAATCTTACAAACGAAATATTAACAGTGTATTAGATGTATGATAAATGTATAGAATAATTATTTGATTGTGAATAATATTTGTATAGGTTTTTAATCAGACAATGGTTTATTATCCATAAGCGAAATTAAATAACCGTTAATATTTAGATTACCGTAACATAAAGTGTTGCTATTGTTTAACGATCTCAGGTTTATTAAGCGGTACCAAGATGTAAAATATTGAAAGTGTTATTACCTTCGTTGAAACATAATTTTACAAGAACTCGGCGTTTCGAAAAATATAAGATAAAAACGCATCACAACAGGTTCGTCTTCATTATTTATCTCTTCTTATATTATAGGCCTATGCCGTATTTATTAAACATTGGGTCAGCTAAATTGGGGGGTAGGGTGGATACGATGCGTATTGAACGCTTTATCATATCCATATACACAGGCTCCATCATGCACACATTCGTCCTGGAAAGAACATGAATCTGTTGAAACAGTAGGCCTGGAGACTAAAAGCCTGACTGACGGTTATCTGTGTCCCTAGAAAGTTTACCTACATCACTGATAAATTCTTAGTTTTTTATTTTAATGGCTGCTACAATTTTCATGCATCCTCCTCCGCCGATATAATAACACAACTTATATCTCATATTTCTATATTAAAAAAGAAGGTGCACTTTACTTACAATTAGTTAAGTGTATCAATTAAGCCACAATATTAATTATAGGCAGTCAATGTGATTGACAGTTTGAGAAAGAATGTCAAGAGGTTAAATGTCTTCGGAAGTAAAATTGCGTGTTTGTTGATGTAAGTGTTTGGGAAGAATACTTGTGAAAAGACACCAGAGGCAAATGATAGGATACGTTTTCAAAATACTTCACACGTTGGAAGTAATGATGATTATTTTACTACGGCATTCACAAACTGAATAAACACGGCATTATTAATGGAAGTTGCCTTTGTAATATTATCAAAAATATTAAAATCATTCTTACAATTTCTTTTATCACTTTGTCATAATTATATCACATTAGGATCGTGTCTGTGAACTTTAAGGAATGTCCAGTCTGTCAGTGAATGAAAAAGAGGAGAGAAATCCGCAGTGGAACACCGCTCATGACAAAGGAATGGCGCCAATAAGCGCCATTCCTCTGTCATGTTATACAGATAATGATGATGATGATGATTAATGATAACGATAATGAGATGATGGTGATGTTGATGATGACGGATGTTATTTAATAATAATAGGTCGATTTATATGGCGCAAATAAAAGGTCTCTAACTACTAAGCACAATGTCCAAGTAAAAGTTAAGGTGAACATAAGGAAAAAGCAGAAAAATGATGCAGGAGATTCAAAGGACACGGAAAAATTTTCTGGATTTTGTAGGCTAAAAATTAATTTCTGATTCAATTAGATAGGCCTACATGTTTATAGAATTGTGAAAATGATGATAAATTAATAAATATTAAGAACACTTGGATTAAGTTTTAGAAAATAGATCAGGCCGTTATTGAATCGCGGATGGTATGATGATTGAGTTCCTGGCCTAAACCACTCAAGAGTCGCCGAAAGCCAGCAGTAGACGATAGCGCGTAGCGATGTTATGAAAACCAGTCTTTACACGTCGTCATACATAGAGCTTTATCAAATCATGCTCAAATACACTGATTCGTTGAAATGTTTGGTAAATGCAAACAAAGGTTTCAAATGGAACGAAACACTATTAAAATATTGAATACTTTCCTTGTGTGTTTTGTCAACGCTCAACTGTAATAGAAGTTGACACAAACTGCTTTCCCTAAGAGAGTTGGTGCAAAGTGGATATTTTTTTTTTGAGTCACACCGTTGCCCTACAACACACATGACGCTGGAAGGTGCAAGGCTTGAAAAATAATAGTCTTACAATTCCTAAACACGTGTTTTTCCCCTGAAATTAGTCCATAAAGCCATGGGAATGATGCCCTGACTTAAATTAATTCTGTTGAATTTTCTCAGATTATTTTAGGAATTATTCAGCAATGGTCAGTTAATGGACCATAATGAACCAATGAGTTCACGCCTACTCAATGGTCAGGGACAGGTTGATCTATTTAGGTCTCCGGAATTTGAATCTTTAAACATAACATCATTTTTTCCAGTTTGTTCTATAGTAGTTTGTTTCACACCACGACTCTGTATTGTTTTGATTATTGTATATACAGACTAGTACCGTAAATTATAATGTAAAGTCCTTCAAAATATTAGACACAAAATCACAAATTAGGCCTATATGTACCTACATTTTGAAGATGAAACAGTATTACATTGAACGTAAGTTGAACTGGATTACTTTTAAAATGGACATAAATAAAAGGAGTTTGTGCATGCAACACCAACAGTAGTTTATTTTTATTGCTTTCAAGTTGCACCATAATTCACAAAAACTTAACTACGACTTCAGATTGTGATGTCGCCAGTGATTCAAGTAAGTTTAATGGGGTAGGCGCCTGCCACCATCTAGACCGACGATCAATGTATATGAGATATTGACGACAAACGTAATCAGGTAAAAAGCGGGAGCACGTGCTATGCACAGATTGACAACGAAAGTAGGAACATATAAACTAGTTTACAAAATGATCCAATCAGACGACGGTATTGAACTCACGTGACACAAAAGTACATTTTAAGGTAATTTGTGTTGTTTTTTTTTTCTCACACGCAGCACCACAGAACATTTTACGTAAAGTTTTAAGCCGCACCAGGTCATCATCACTTCACATTCCCTACTGTGAAACATAAGATCGTTACTTGCTTGAAGTCCTTCAAGTTATTGTGTGAAGCTCTATCACAATAAAACAAAAAAAAACCAACAAAAGAAAACCAACAAAAAATCACTAAAAATAACACAAGCTTCGTTATGTAATCATAATATGACGATCTGCAAATCATATTTATTAAACATTACACATATACATTCCAGATGATACAGAGTTTTGTTTTTGATTAAAAGGAAAATTTCTATTTCCAAACAAAAACTTAGTCGCCACTTAATACCTTTTGGCTGATACAAATGCGGTACCAAATACTAGGATTGATATAAAATAAAAGCCTATAAATTTAAAAGCTATACTGCCACTTAAAATATCAAGAAAACCCTAATTAGAATTTGAAAAGTTTACCTGAAAGAACATTATATAGGTTAAGGTCTAATCAAAACAGATGAAAAATAACCCGTTTAGCCTACTAAGAAATCCAGAAGCTTGACACTATGTCTATAGCGCCTATGAAACTATATTGACGGTATTATTTAAACGCCCGTTAATTGGCGGGGGATTTTTTTCCTCATTTTAACTTTCAGCTGAACTGTACTGTATATATGAGGTGACAGTACATCTTTAAGCATTACGTTGTAAATACATTAAGTCTATGGCCTTCCATTACCAAAATATGGCAATCATCACAACACAGGTGTGTAGGCTTAAGTCGTAGCTTTATCAACAGCAACAGCAGACACAGTACGTACAGATAGCAAGCAAGTCTATGTTAGAAAATTATGGGCATTAAGTGCAGGCCAAACTGTAAAGTAGGCGTATCATTTATCTAGAGCACAAATAGACTGTAATCGAAATGTAAATTACAATATGACTATAGAACTATGTTCTCGCGAACTACCTTTTTATTGCACAAACCACAATTATAATTAACCAAAATGCTACTAAATTACGTCACATAAAAGTTAATGATATATTGGACAATACTTCCCTGCATGAATCAACATGTAAGTACAAGTTTCAATTTCCAAGACATTTTACTAAGCAAGTAGATTGTTGGTATACACATCGAGTAATAATGTTAAATAAATTAAAACAATTAGGGCATATATTCCATATATAATTCAAAAACAAAACGTGTTTACCACATGCTAAATGAATTTCGCCACAATGACGCAATCTAAACTCTACAAACCCAAATGGTAGAATTCTAGTTTAAATGCTATCAATTCTAAATACAATAACGATATAAAACGAACTTTGCATTGATCAAATTATTACCCTTTTAGTTGCAGTACAATATGAACTCAACAGGTTATTTTACGAAATGCGACTGCATAGATTTTAAGTCACCATCCACGCGACTATTGCCGCCATTTGATACAAAACATTATTATTCTTATGTCATACCTCCACAATTATATACAGTAGAAGGGCACACTTTCGGGACCAAAAAGGTGTCACTTAAATAGGGCTTGTCCGTAGTGTTAAAAGATATACTTTCTCTCGTTTAGTGCCCGAAAAGTATCCTCTTAATACTAAGGGTTGTCCTCTTTATAGGGGTGCCCCAAAGGGGTTTTACATTTTTAAATTGGCGCACATCATTTTAAATTATTTGTCCTGCACCCCTGTTTTCGATGCAAGTTGGTGAACTTGGGTTTTTCCATGCGCGATTAACACACACGCTTTAAAATTGTATGCAATTATCATAAAAACACCACCTTACTAGTCATTTTCTAAGTGACGATTGCTCACAAAGGAGTCATGATGCTTAGGGCATTCTGTTTACAGGATTTGAACCAAAAACCTGGGGATCAGACTGCAAGTGCAGTCACAAACCACAGCTCTGCTGCAATATATCAATGTAGGCCTACAATATGCAAGCCGACATACTCACACCATGGTAATGTAAAGCAATATAGTACTGTACATTATTTGAGATGAAAATATATTCGTATCATATACCAGGAGTTTAGATAAGCAACATCAACTATGAGACATGGCACTAATTAGGGCGTGTCAATGGTTTCAGGAAACACCGACAGATAAATTCCATAATCAATTTTATAAATGAAGGTCACTGAATATTACAAACGATCAAAAAAAAATATGGCGCGTGTCCAAGACTTTGAAAATAATGATCGCATGTGACATGCTTTCCCCCTTTAACCTTGACATCGATTGTATAACACCATAGAGAAAAGATAATAAATAATTGGCTTATATTAGATCAATTTATAACTAGAGGAGATATCACCTTTCATTAAATTACCTAGTATAATGTGTAGCACATTCAATAATTTCTTACAAAAATATTGTTTCTTATTCAGTATGAACTTGAAATCTCCTGACATTCAACAATCATAGCAATGTTTGTAAAACACACAACTGTTGAAACAGTTGGTGACTGTCACTGAAAGTTTGAGCAACAAATTACATTTAAAATAAAATATAAGTGACTCCAAATAGATAGAGTGAGGCCATTACATTTAAATGACAGTATTGTAGGCCTACATTCTCTTAAAAATAATAAAATTTCATATAGAAAAATATTAGTTTAAAGCTAAATAATCAATAGCATTAACAACAATGGGCAATAATAATATAAATCACAATAATAAAATACTAATACCAACAATAATATGAACTAGAAATAAAATTACCAATGATAAAAATATCTAAATTAAAACTAAATCATATTATTGTAGGCCAGCATTTTAAAAAAAGTTCTCGTAATCTTGAAAGCTCTGACAAGGGCAGACTAATAGAGGCAGTAGATCTGAAAAAGATCTATTCATTAATCAACCGAGTGTTTCTAGAGCTCCTCATAAGGGCATTATCATAGAGGCAGTAGACCTAAAAAAGATCTATTAATCAATCAACTATTAATCAATCAGCCTCATGAGGGCAGTATAATAGAGGCTGTAGACCTACAAAAGATCTATTATTAATTGTTCTTTAAAACTGACAATACTAATAAATAAAAATATCTTCTTACCCTACCATTGAGACAACATGACATATCATTGACTAGCCTTGAGTATCCATCAACAGAAAATTAAATTAACAACTAAATCTGCTCTATTCCCAAAGGAATATAGCAATGATTAATTACAGGATGGAAGAACATGAATTATTAACATTTGTGATGAAACTTGAAAAGCATTCACTTCTGTTAATATTACATCACCAAAGCCTTGTCCATGTCCACACTATCAAATTGCATTTGACAAACATAAATGTGACATGCCTAAATATGGTCATGATGACATCACATCATGACCATAAATAGGCACATCATGACTATATATGGGCATGATGACATCACATAATGACCATATATAGGCACATCATGACTATATATGGTCATGATGACA